ACAACAGTCATTAATATTGGGATGACGATATTCTTTGCAATACACAAAAACTTAACTCGGGAAGAAAAATGATCAAAAACAAAAATATTTTAATTGACAAAAAACTCATGAAAATGAGAAAAGCAAAAGATGTGAGGAAAGGGAAAAAGAAAATGAACAGGAAAAGCAGAATCAGCAGAAAGAGCAGAACTAAGCTAACTCAGGTGTTTGCTAACCATCTAAATTACGGTAAGTGCAGTCCGCCACGGAGGCGGGACTCTAACCTATGAGAACCCGCCCAATTGGCCAAATGGGTGAAGAGCTCTATTTGAATTGTTAAAAACACATCATGCTTCCGTTTGACTGAGAGAATTTGAGCTGACCATTCACTACCATATTTATCTGTTCTTTGCGATATGCATCTTGAGCATGCTGATATGGAGATAATGATATAGTTGCAATAAATCGTGCAGCCCTAATAAAAACAGAAGGAAACTGCCTTGCTTGGACTGATGCAGCATTTGGGTTACACGCCAGCCACCTCTCTTAACTTGTTTAAACAACAATAGACATGTCCTGACACTACGGAGTCCGTGTCGCAGACATTTTTCAGAGACAGAGGGACTTCCCATGTAAGGAAGGTCCCACCAGATTCGCTGCCGCAGGCAGATCATTCATTCCTCGTCATGAACTTTGATCTTCCCATCATCCTCCAGTCATCCAACTGGAACCAGTTAGTGTTATACGTCACACCTGCTCTGGTGTTAAAGGTTAGTACATTTAATCCTAGACCACGTTTGTGCCTGTTCTGTCATTCTTAAGAATTCTTATTTATATATATGTGTGTTTACTATCCATCCATCCATCCATCCATTGTCTGAACCCGCTTTGTCCATGTAGGGTCGCGGGGGGGGGGGGGGGGGGGGGGGGGGGGGGGCGCTGGTGCCTATCTCCAGCGGTCAACGGGCAATCAGGCGGGGTACACCCTGGACAGAGGGCCAGTCCATCACAGGGCAACACAGAGACACACACGACAGACTATCACACACACACACACACACAAGCACACACACACACAAACACACACACACACACCTAAGGACAATTTAGACAGACCAATCAACCTAACAGTCATGTTTTTGGACAGTGGGAGGAACCCGGAGAACCCGGAGAGAATCCACGCATGCACAGGGAGAACATGCTAACTCCATGCAGGAAGATCCCAGGCCGGGAATCGAACCCAGGACCGTCTCGCTGCAAGGCAACAGCTCTAACCACTGCACCACCCCATGTTTTTACTACTTAATGAGAAATAGAAATGTTAATAAAAACAACCAATTATACAAACAAGTGAAACTGGAAAAACTAGAATCTGGTACCAAGTCCATTTATTTCAGTAATTCAACTAGACTGAGAGACTATATAAAGACTCAGGAACCATTTGCAGGTGTTTTCGATTTATACATTTTAGTTGATTTGGGTCTTGTTTCATATCACACAGTGACATACAAGGCCAGATTAACCATATGGGCAACTGGGCAATTGCCCGGGCCCACGAACTCTAAAGGGCCCAGGGCAGCAAGGGCACGAGCAAAGTACTGTATCTGTAATCTCCCGCTTTATATTAAACTAGTGTGACCGTACGTCCTGTTTTCCCCGGACATGTCCACTTCACCCTCTGTCCGGGCGTCCGGACTGGGGGTTCTTGATGAAAATGTCCGGCTTTTCATCCAGGAGCAGGGATGGAATTATGGGGAGCTGTATATCCTACACATCCAGGGGAGCGGGAAAAAAGTTTTCTACCTATATGACATCATTTATGGGCTCTTTTGAGCAGAGAGCACAGACAGCAGCACAGCGATGATCGTTGTTGCGCAGCGATCCAGGCGGCTGCTTCCAGCGCACGGTCCATTCTCAAAGTGGCGCAACCAAAAAACTATAATGAACACATGATGGTTCATGTCCACACATGTTCTCTGCTTTCTGTCTTATTTGTGCCTGAAGCGCTCTGCTACTGCGGAGCTCACCACCTGTGCTGCGGTGATTTCACCTCACTGACGCAGCATCGAAACGCGCTCTCCGCTTTACGGTCAGGAGATCCCTTTGATCTGCTCAGAAGTAACTGATGAGGTGAAAAGGTAAGAATCCAGGCAGCAGTTTTTCTGGAGAGTTTAGAGGCGATGCAGGAAGATGAGAGACAGACAGGACAGGAAAATAGTTCAATAAAAACAAGAAAACAAAACAAAGTGTTGAAAAGTAAAATGTAGGTAGATTTATCTCCACTACATGTTTTTACCTATAAAACAATAAGTTACACACATGTAATATTTACACATCTGATACAATTCAGATCACCTTCAACACTCAGTCACACACCCAGGGCCGTTTCAAGACATTTTGGGGGCCAAGGCAAAATGCCCCCCCCCCCCCCCCCCCATAACTGGGCTCCCCAGAAGCCTCTGTGTAATTCATGCCCTCTCCAGTAGTGTTAGTTATATGGTGTTTATAAAAGCCCCTCAGACATTACTGACATGTTCTAATATTATCAGATGAAAAACTAAATTATCAGACATGCTGTCTCATCTGCTGCTTTTCTAAACCTGCTAAAAGTAACAAAACCAATGAAAGCCACTATTTGTGGATTCTCTGAAAGTTTCCATGGAGTGTGTGACAACTTATTTTATCATTGATCCTATCGTCTAATCTCACAGCCGAAACAAGCATCCTTAATAATCTGTGCACAGGAAGCTTACCGATGCTGTAGTAAAACAAAAGGTATAATAATTTATTATTAATAAAACCTTGTTGCAGCACTAAAGCAGAAAAATGAGATTTTGCAGTAAATATGCTAAATATTTACATATGAATTGTTTTAGAGCCCTTTTATTGGCAGAATCTGATATTAATTTAGTTCTTACAAAAAATGGGTCCCAACATGGTTTGTGTGGCGTTGCCATAGTGTGACGTCATAGGCACAGATCCCCTGTCCTCTTGTTTGGAAATGGAAATATGGTCACCCTACATTAAACAAACTGTCCACCCGGGCGTTTGCGCTGCACAGAGACGCTTCGCTGCCTACGACTGAACGTCAGTTGAGTCAGTCTCATGCAGACTGACCAACATATATATATATATATATATATATATATATATATATATATATATATATATATATATATACACACCTTCTTCAAGCAGTGGTACAGGAAGAAGTCTGCATCCTTCAAGAAAAACATGATGTTCATGCAGGACAACGCTCCATCACACGCATCCAAGTACTCCACAGCGTGGCTGGCAAGAAAGGGTGTAAAAGAAGGAAAACTAATGACATGGCCTCCTTGTTCACCTGGTCTGAACCCCATTGAGAACCTGTGGTCCATCATCACATGAGAGATTTACAAGGAGGGAAAACGGTACACCTCTCTGAACCGTGTCTGGGAGGCTGTGGTTGCTGCTGCACGCAATGTTGATGGTGAACAGATCAAAACACCGACAGAATCCATGGATGGCAGGCTTTTGAGTGTCCTTGCAAAGAAAGGTGCTATACTGGTCGCTGATTTGTTTTTGTATTGTTTTTGAATGTCAGAAATGTATTTTTGGGAATGTGGAGATGTTATACTGGTTTCACTGGTAAAAATAAATAATTGAAATGGGTATATATTTGTTTTTTGGTAAGTTGCCTGATAATGATGCACAGTAATAGTCACCTGCACACACACATATCCCCCTAAAATAGCTACAACTAAAAACAAACTAAAGACTACTTCCAAAAACATTCAGCTTTGATATTAATGAGATGTTTGGGTTCATTGAGAACATGGTTGTTTTTCAATAATAAAATTATTCCTCAAAAATACAACTTGCCTAATCATTCTGCACTCCCTGTGTGTATATATATATATATATATATATATATATATATATATATATATATATATATATATATATATATACATTTATATATATGTATATGTATATATATATAAATGTATATATATATATATATATATATATACATTTATATATATATGTATATGTATATATATATATAAATGTATATATATATATATATATATATATATATATACATTTATATATATATGTATATGTATATATATACATATATATATATATATATATACATATACATATATATATAAATGTATATATATATATAGATATATATATATATATATATATATATATATATATATATATATATATATATATATATATATATATATATATATATATATGTATATGTATATATATATATATATATATACATATACATATATATATATATATATATATATATATACATTTATATATATATGTATATGTATATATATATATATATATATATATATACATATACATATATATATAAATGTATATATATATATATATATATATACATTTATATATATATGTATATATATATATATATATATATATATATGTATATGTATATATATATATATATATATATATGTATATGTATATGTATATTAGTCCATTTATCATGGCTCCTGGAACATTTTAAGCTCCAACAAAATTATGTTTATAGAGGCTCAAAGATGAGTTTTCAAATTAAAACTGGGCCTTCTAGCACCGCATTAGCAGGTGTGAAACGGACTCGTGTCATTTCCATTCAAAGATTCGAGTTCAGTTCAGGGACTACAAATATCGCTGGGAGCGCTTCACCAAAATGAGCGTACCCTTGTTTATTACACAAGAAGCCAGAAACTGCAACAGGCCCGGCTCAGCTAGAGCGAAATTATTCACCTACACACACACACACACACACACACACACACACACACACACACACACACACACACACACACACACACACACATTTTAGGACACCGGCACACAGTTAAGCATGATAACATGGGGGGGACTCTATAAAATAAAAAAGACATCCAGCAGAGAAGCACACAGCAAAACCAGCAGACCTTAATGAAACAGACAATGTCCTCAAACTAACAAATAAAAAACACAAACGTGCAACTTACGAGGCTTCTGACCCCAGACGTACAGCTGTAGCTTCTCAGAAGAGTAGTAAATAAAGACCAGGACCAGCATGGGACACAGGACAAACAGCAGCTTGTGTGTAGGCTTCATGGCACCATTCAGGTCATCACCTGTGACGATGAGCAGAGAGGGACACGCTTTATTTATACACATCCAGAGAGAAGCATCTGTCAGCAGCAGCTGATTAAAGTCAGAGACGACACTGGAGAAGGGAAACAGTACAAGTTAAAACTGAAGGGTGTTCACGTGAAGAGGCAGGTTTACACCATCAAACTCCTTCCCTGAGGGACACCTAAATGTGTTGATGTTGTACTATTAAATATGCAGATTACTCATCTCTTTAAAAAGAAATACACTCAGAAAATACTTCTAAGGACTGCTAATAAAGTTCTGGAAAACCTAGGAAGGAGGAGTTTTGTGGCTTTTATCTGTGAGGAAGCAGCACTGATGAGCTAAATAACAGCAACGTTCAACCAAGTTAAAGGTTATTTCCTCTTGTGCAGAACCACGGGCAGCCGCTGTGGTTTACACGGATCTACGTGCATGAGAATGTGGCCATTTCCACCAGATACAGACAGTCACGCTCCGGCAAAAACTAACTATTCAGTTTTTGATTAATATGAAAACAGTAATGTTAGAGGAATAAACGTCCTCACAGAATAAAAATAACACATACGGCCTGGCTAAAAGAAACTTGCAATAAAAAGGCCACACACTAATATTTCATTGGACCACCTTGAGCTGTGACTACCACAAACTGTGGCGTTGTTTCAATAAGCTTCTGCAAAGTTACCGGATTTATTTCCATAAGAGCCCTTTTTACAAGACACAGCATGTCGGCAAATCGGCGTAATATTACTGCAACGGTGTGTCTTATAAACGCGGCACGGCGTTCCGCCTTGCTTGGTAGTAATATTGTGGTAATTGTCTGTCTTATAAACAGCTATTGCGTGATGGTGCAGCAGAGGGAGGTGTCATGATGATGTGGGGAGCTAATGCCAAGCTCCGGCCGGCAAATATTCTGAAAGTTAAACCCAACAATAAGGTTTGCTTTTTGAACAAAACCAGCTGAGACAGCAAACTAGAGGGCCGCTGCGCTCCTGGAGCGTCTCTCTGTTAGAGCTGGAGCTCAGATCATCAGACCGCACAGGGACTGATGGGGACAGACACCTTTAGGAGCAGCTTGTTAAAAAAACGTAACAATCACGGCTTTAGTCGCAATAAAGAGCTAATTATGTCCAAAATACGAAAGGCTGCTGCATCAGAGACCGCCCCCATACCCCCTTTATGCCATTGCCTAATCTTTTATACAAAGGTCATGATTGCACCACATTACCGCCAGTCTGACCACTTATAAACGCCCTAAGGGTCCCTGATGAAGCCACGGCGTTGCGGCACATTGACGATATTGTTTTGTAAAAACGGTTTATGTCTCACTAAGATGATAAATGATAATGACCCGCACTTGTACAGCGCCTCTCAGAGTAAGGACTCCAAAGCGCTTTACACTACAGTGTATCATTCATCCATTCACACACTCATTCACACACTGATGGTAATGAGCTACGCCCTGGGGCGCACTGACAGAGGCCAGGCTGCCGAGCACAGGCGCCACCGGTCCCTCCGACCACCACCAGCAGGCAAGGGGGGTTAAGTGTCTTGCCCAAGGACACAACAGCAGAATTCTCTGTCCGTAGCCGGGATCGAACCTGCAACCTTCCGATTACAGGACAACCCGCTCAACCTGTTTAGCTACTGCTACCATCATCAATTTGCATTGAAACCCTAACTCTAACCCTAACCCTACACCGCAGCCACGGTAATCCACCAAGATAATAGTTTTTTAAAAACAAGACGGTTATTATTATTGTCAACTTTTTAACCGGGGTTTACCGCTACACCGGTTACCGTGACAACCCTACTCTAGGATTAGAAAAGCCTAACAGATCTACACCACACGGTCACTAACATTCATGGACTCACCCATCCTGACTATGACGGGGAAGGCTGTTGTTGGTTTAGCGTCCAAAAAACAGCAGAGAACGTCTCGGCTAGTAGAAGCTAACTGTTAGCATTAGCTACTCCACCACACAGCAGAACTCCTCCAGACTTGTGTTATTTGTGGAGGTCAAACATCTACTCTGCAAAGCAAACAGTCAGTGGTAGTGATGAGTTGTTGTTAGCCAATCAGAGGAGGGATGTCCCATATAAGGAAATAAGACTCCAGATCCTGCAGTCTGAAGCTCAGCTGTGATGTGGGTCACTGCTAGGTCCTGACACAGGTGCACCAGAGCTTTTTTTCCTTCTAGAGTAGGACTTACAAGACATTCCTTCCCAATAAAGACCACTGCAGATGTACTGGTTTAACAAGTGCTCCACACATTTAATTATTCTTAATTTTTATTGTTCTTGTGATTCTTATCCTGGGTTAAGGACAATAACTAGTCTCTCCTTTAACACCTGTGGCTAAAAGTAGATTTGTAACGCAGGTTTAAGCCGCTCGTCGGTGTTCTCGTGGAATAGCTGCGTTAGTCTACCAGAGATAAAAGGCAGGTGTGTGATGACTACAGAGGTCTCTGGGTAGACGTGTAGCGGAGCGGGCATGTTCTGAACACCGTCAGCTAACGGTCTCGGTGATGAAGCAGCTGCGGCGCTGGGCCGGCTCCGGGGACAGTTGCAGACCGTACGTGAGCCTGTCGTTTCCCGGTTCCCCTCCGGGTTCTGTTCACACCAGAGCGGACCTAGGGTTTAGTCTGATACCGAGGCTGCGTGGCTCGGTGGTCGGTGATCCGAGCGCCGCTGTTAGCGAAGACAAACATAACGGAGCTGTTTACTGCCTGGCCTCTCGCGAGGAGCCTGCTTGCGACACACACACACACACACACACACACACACACACACACACACACACACACACACACACACACACACACACGGTCGTAGAGGTACCGGACAGCGAACGTAGCCCCGTAGGAAGCGGCTGTTTGAGGCTAGCCGCTCGCTAAGCTAACAGCGCTGGTACCGAGGATTCCCCGGTTCGGGTTAGTTCAGCGGGCCCACGGTGTGGAAACGCCTTCATCCTCCATCTATCCGCTTCACACTGAACCCGCAACTGTCCAATAACGCGTGGATGAAGTCGTGCCCGGCGTGTCCCTCGGTGAGGGGACAATAACACTGGTTAGTGGCCCACCACGGAGGACACTTTCCCGCAACCTCCGCTGCCGTCTCCAGTCTCACTAACGCCGTCACTTCCAACCAGACACACACAGAAAGCATTTACCGTTCTCTTTCTTTGAGTCCTCGGATCCAAAACAGAGTCCTTCTTAAATAAAATAATGAACTGGTCGATAAAACGACCGTGTTCTTCTTCCTCTCCGGGCCATTTCCATGATTAAATCTGTGAGTCGTTAGCTCCTCGGGCTGAAGACGAGCAGCATGACTGCGCCTTTCCTCCTGGTCCTGGTCCGGGTCCTGGTCCTGGTCCGGCTGCTTCTCTACATCCAGAGGAAAACGGAGCCTCGTCCAGGCCAGCAGAGCCGCGGCTACAGCCGTCTTAAGGAACCCAGTGTGCCGTCACATGAGGCGTTTGACCGCCTCCAGTGTGACCGAGGCGGCCCCCCCTCACGCGCCTGCTTCTGGAACTGGACCTTCTGCAGCCAGCACACGGTCCAACACGAGCCCAGCACACAGGCTGCCTTCTGTTTGCATCACGGTTCTGGCATCAGTCATCATATTCCTGCTTTAATCAAACCAGTTGTGAGCAACAACCCAGGGCTCTGTAATAATCATGAAAGCAGAACCATTATCCTGGTTTAAACCCATTTAGCTCGTGCTAGCTGTCCCAGGTATGAAAGTCTGGACAGTCAGCCATTATTCCAGACAGCATCCTGGTTGGTGGTTTAAGTTTTTACACTGAACAAAAATATAAACGCAACACTTTTGTTTTTGCTCCCATTTTTCATGAGCTGAACTCAAACATCTGAACATGTGTACACGCACTAAAGACCCATGACTCTCAGGTATTGTTCTGAAATCTGTCTACCTGTGTTAGTGCGCACTTTTCCTTCACCAAGATCTAACACAGAAAGTCGCCACAACGTCGCATTTTGCGACGTTTCGTTTGTGACGTAGTGAAACGTAGCTGCTACGTTTAGGTTATACGTTCCACAGGTGACGTTGTTGGTGCGCTGCTGAAACGTCACACTACAACGTCCTGTTAAATGAACTTATTCGGCACTTTAATAACAACGTTGCTGCTACGTTGTTACAACGTGATAACTGTAGTTCCAGAATAAATAAAATTTAAGAGATTTTAACACCAACTTGTCCATATTGTGATTCTAATTTGGATTTTGTTAAAATTAAAAATGTTTTCCTCAACACACATGAAAAATAACACACAAAGATATAATTTAATTTGGTATTTTAATGCTTTGTTTTTATTATTATTATTAGAGTTTTGACAATAATTAAATAAACAATAAGTGTTGCAGTGCTTGAATCATGTTTATAGCTAAAATGTCTTTCTAATAAAAAATGGGATTTTTTATTTTATGAAAAAAACTTTTCTAACCTTTGTTTACTGATAAAAACGTGTTTGCATTTGGCAAAACAAGTTCTGCATGTACCAAAAGGTACAGGAGCTACTAGATTCTTGAATGAGGATGCATAATGGGCGTCAGCTCGAAAGGGGTTATTTTCATTTAAATCACATCCTGTCTACTACCATTTGTTACCTTTGAAAACCCACCAACAAAGGTACATGCAAAAGGTGAATGTTGATCTTCTTCTTCTTCAATAATTTAGGCAGGCTGAACGCCTAAAAGGCGCATTGCTGCCACATCAGCCACCACACTGAGCCAGCACAACCCAGGCACACGGACCACCCCCACCCCATGCACCCACAGAACCAGCATTAACTAAATCCTCCACCAGCACACACCCCAGTGAACACACACTAACCCCACAATGAGGCTCACCCCACGCTCGTACTCCCACCCCCACCACCAACACACTCCATCAACGGTGTGCGATTAACCAGAACCCCCAACCCCTTGCAAACATGCTGCCCCCCCAAAACCTCTTCTGGGGACTTGTTGAACAGCCCATTCTTCACCCTCCACAAGGCCTCAACCCAAAATGCCCAAAAGTTCCTCTTATACACCACCAGATCCCCCCCCCCCCCCAATCCCCATTACCAGTTGATAAAGGCACAGTACAAGGCCTGGATGTACCCCAATTATGTTCCCCCACACGACGCACCGTCTCAGCATAAGACACCTTATGCTCAGCCTGAAACTGCCCCACCTCAACCGCTGCCCTTTACGCCACACAACCCCTATAAGCCGCTTGATGGTTCCCACCACAGTAACAACAGCAGAGCAGTAGATCACAACTCCTGCCCTGATGGTCACCCTTGCACCTCCGACACCGCACCCCCACCACACAGGCACGTCCACATGACCATAGCCCTGACACCGTAAAGGAGGTTCTTTGTATGCCCTGTCTGTGTAACTAAGAAAACCCAACTTGACATGAGCAGGGAGCTCCACTGTATCAAAAAGTAATCAGCAGCGAAGTGGACCCACATGCGTTAAACCCCAGACGCCGAATAGCCACCACTGACGTCCCACACAGGGAATCAAACACCTCAGACTCAGAAACCTCATTCCAAATGCCATACACCACATCCTTAACCATACAACCATACCTCGACTCAGAAACCACCACGTCCACCCCAAGAAACTTCTCAAGTCGCATTGCCTTGAGGCACTGGGTCTTAGTCCAGCAAACCACCAAAAATAGTCCACTGAACACCACGGTAGCGTTAAGCACATCCCCTAGCATGGCACTCAGCTCCCTGGACACAAGCGAGGCTGAACTGAAGCAAAGCCAGGCCACCATCTTACCTGGTCTGTACAGACCATCAGCTGACCACCCAAACAACCCACGAAGCCAACCCAACTGATCAGCCACCGCCAGTCACAACACTCCCCTTCTCGCTCCAAGTAGCTGAGGAGGAGAAGAAAGTTTCCAAAGCCTGGTGATGGTTTACAGTCTGGTCAGAGTCCAGCCCACCTCACAGGTGTGGCATGCCAAGGGGCTGATTAGACAGCATGAATAATTTACAGGTGTGCCTTAGACTGCCCACAATACAAGACCACCCTGACATGTGCACAGTTTTGCTTTATGGGTGGGAGAAAACCAGTCAGTATCTGGTGTGGCCGCCATTTGCCTCACACAGGGCAGCACATCTCCGTTGCATAGAGTTGATCAGGTTGTTGATTGTGGCCTGTGGAACGTTGGTCCATTCCTCTTCAATAGCTGCGTGAAGTTGCTGAATGTTGGCAGGAACTGGAACACTGCTGTATACGCCAATCCAGAGCATCCCAAACATGCTCAGTGGGTGACATGTCTGGTGGCCATGCAAGAACGGATGTTTTCAGCTTCCAGGAATTGTGTACAGATCCTTGTAATATGGGGCCATGTGTTATCATGCTGCAACTTGAGATGATGGTCGTGGATGAACGACACAACAATGGGCCTCAGGACCTCGTCGCGGTACCTCTGTGCATTCAAAATGCCATCGATAAACTCTGGTCGTGACTTGGTGCTTTATAAATAAACTGAATAGAAAACTTGAAGTGAATTGAACTGAATAGCTTATAGCACTAAGCTAGCGGTCTTGTCTGTCAGCTTGAGTTTGAAATTTTCCAACACTTTGGAAACATTTTGGCATTCCTTCTTGGGTGTTGGCCCATCTACGCAACGGAACCAAGAGTTTTTTTTTGTAGATTTCAAAATGGAAATGGTTTTATTTTCAAAATCAATTAACAAATGTATTCATGATTATTTAGCTAATCATTTATAAATAAATTACATCATCTTACACATAACCAATGACGGTTGTGACTATAGAAAGTTTTACATGACCTATAAACTATCAACAAATGTGGAAATGAGTGTTTGCAGATATGTAACCATTGTTTAATCATTTGTAAATGTCACCACAGCCTCTAAAAATGAATTGTAAATATGACCTTATACCTTGTAAATGATGTAATAATGACTTACCAAACACTTGTATTTTTAAATGTTAGTTTCAGCCTTTATAAAGTATTTGTACATCATTGTCTAATACCTTGCAAATGACCTTTTAATGACATTGTAAACCCTTATACATGCTTAATAATAAAACATCCTTATAAACTGTTACTGACTAGGGCCACTGTGGCTCTGAAGTCGGGTAGTCAATCTGTGCAACTTCCTGCTGAGAAGCATGCGTGTGTTACAACATCCAATGTGGCATGAATGCACTCACACGTTCACTGGCCAAAGAAAACCACATCCAGGGAGGGTCAACAGTGTACAGAGTCGTAGACAGTGTGCTAATAGTGACAGTTCACCTCTTATTTCTAAAACCCTTGAGTAGCATTGATTTATGATCAGAGCCTAGTTCTTTAATAATTATGAAGAGTATAGCAGTTAAACCTTGTGTTAGCCAATCCATATCGTTTCTAAATGAAGTGTTTATGTAATTTAATACTGAACTCCTTCTGTGTAGGTTAGTGAATGCTTCCTGTTGTTTTTACAAATTCTTTATTTTGCTCCTACTTTTGAGCAGATTAACTCCCACGTTCTTATCACCTCCTTAATTCAACAAGGACAGAGCTGCCCTCACTAGACAGCTCTCGCCCTTGACTCATCATCACTGTCTTGTTATTGCTAGACAAGCTTTATAAGATTGTCTTGCTCTACGTGACCCTTAGATTTGCTCCGTAGCATGATGACCTGACAACTGATATGTGATGGTCACATTAATATGAGAATGACCTGATTACAGATGAATCTAGTAGTTTTTACGTTTGTCAGTCTTTTGTTTTTGATTATTTTTTGTTGTTTTCTGAGTAGAACTCCTTTAGTTGTTCATTATCACATTTAGTTAGACTCCTCTGCTTGACCCTTTAGCTACTTAGGGTTCTTCCCCAAGCTCTTTCTAGGTTCCTGTAGTATGACCATTTTTATACGGAGTGCGCTTTTTTAAATTATGAATTATTTCTTTATTTGTTCTTTTGTTTAGAACATCTTTTCCCTTCCTGAAACGTTTACCATCTTTTCAAACACCTTTAGGGTTGTGTGTATCTAAAAACACCATCAGTTGTTTTAATTTTGATCTTTCGCTGAAGCTATGTGACAAATGAGTTTTATTTTTCTTAGAAAAATCTATAGTTCAGTTTAACGTACTGAGTTTTATTTCGTTTGGATAGTTCTGCTGTCCAAATTCGCTTGTGCAGCTCTAATGTAAACAATGAACAATACGGGTTTAGAACTAAACATTCCACAGCAATGGCAATAATGGAATTAACGGATAAAATATCAGCAGCAGTTGACAATAAAAGGACTTTATTAGTGTTTTCATTGATTTGAAAAAAGCATCTGACGTCATTGATCACTCAAGGTAACTTCAAAAATTAAGTCAGTATGGAATAAGAGGTGTGGCTCATAAACGGGTTAAAACTTA